TATATATATATATCCACTTCAGGACCTTGCCGCTTATATACTTTCAGTCCTGAAGTGTTTAATACATTGTAAATTCTCTCTACTGTCACACTTGCATCTCCACTTACTTTTCCTGGTTCATATCTGCTCTCCAATGACAGTTTCATGTGAAAAATAAGTAATTGCACACTTTACATTTTTGAACTCTAGCCCATATGCCTGACATATCTATAGGATTTAGGGGCAGTGTAATTGGTTAGGGTTCAGTGCATTCTAGTACTGTATACATATAACAGCTCAGCATCCACCTAAACACCTATCATCCAACACACACTGACATACCTCATAGCATAGCCACAGACCAGCAGACTGTTACACTGTACTTTGCCCAATGAGTCTCAAAAGGAGATTAAAAAAGGGCCCCCATATGTCTGCCATGAATAGAGTTTGGATTGTATTATTCCATATACAATGGATCCTGGTTGGCAAATGTTGCCTTGCTAAACTAGGGTTTCAGTCTTTAACAGGGACTCCATCCTTGCTAAATACCATGGATCCTTAAGGTCATAGAAGTTCCTCCAGCTGCTTTTGTTGGCACTAGATTTCCATGGATGAGTATATGACTGGTAGAGACAGACTTAAAGCCCTGATGTAAATTGATTTCTAGATCGTGATGCACAGAGTAATCACGCAGTGTCGTATAAATATGAGAGACATTCCTCAATAGTAAGTGATACATGACTAAATGCCAAATTTGTTTTCACGGTTTTAATGGTTGTTCATACATCCGATATGTTGCAGGAAGAGGGGTGGAGCCTCTGCCTTGCTCCTCCCCTGGGTGTCAAACTAAAAAGGTATTATTACAGGGAAAGGTAGAGAGGAATCTACGCACAACTAAAAACCAATAGTCTTTCCTGTTCTTACGTATCCTTCCGCATCAAGACTCCTGCAAAGCTTTGGTACCTGCACGTTGCTGGAGACCATAGTAAACAAGACGCTCTCTTATAATACTGAGTATTTCTGCCTCAGGCACAGCCCTGCTTCTTAATTCCTGAGAAAAGTAAAGTGACTTAACCAGACCCATTTGCTGCCAGAGTGACCTCCCTCGAGGACTTTAGCCCACCCACAAGGACGAGAGAAATGTGTCACCCACTATATAAAACTTACTCCAAAGTAAACAAGGGTTTACAAAAATAACAAGAAGCCCTTTACCGCTCATCTGGGTCAAGGCCTTGACCAGCCCTTAAAACTAGGATCGCAGCCAATGCTCCCTTTCACGACCATTCCTCCTCAGCCCACAGCAAAGTGTAGCATCCTCAAAAATAATCCAAAAGCCTCTCCCCTGCTCACTGGTCTTTACAGCTCCTGCAAGATACCAGTTTTTATTTTTTTGGGGGGGCAAAATCCCTTCTCCAGAGCAGTACTTGAGTCTGCTATGTTGTGTGTAGAATCATAAGCTGACTTGATAGGCGGAGATCTCCGTTAAGATCCAAAAAGTTCAGGAGCGTATATCAATTTTTTGGGGGGAGGTTGAGGAACTAAGCACATCCTAGAATTCCGAAGAACAAATGGAGGAATAACGGCGTAGACCACTGAGGCCGAGAAACAATGCAGGAGGGAAGAGAGTACGGAATGACACACGGCAGGGAGTGTGGCAACAAAAAAATCCCCGGAGGAACAGCAGCAGATCGACACAGAGTGTCCGCACAGCAACGGGAAAGATTATATGGGTACTGCAGGTGCCACATGCTGGCACAACCTAATATCCACGTTTTTTTTAACTTGTCCACCAACTGCGGGCACAAAGAGCAGTCCTTTGGCTCTGCCTGGCCTAAGTCTGTTTTAGCTGTAGGGTCAACGCTCTTCTGGTTGAAGATGGAACTCCAAGCATTCACCCGAGAACAAGGCTGAGTCGACGAGACTGTATATTAACTGCACAAAAACAAAACAAAAAGGTTCACTGGATGGAGGCCAAACAATCACATTCCTTGATATACAGATTCACTAAAGGGAAGCAAATAAATGGTGAGTATGTGCTGGGGGGTGGGGAGCACAAGCAAATCAAATTTTTACTTGAAGTTGAGCCATCTTACCTGGGTCTGGAACTGCCCTGTGCTTGTTCTCTGGCTCCAGACTGATCTCTTTCAGTGCAAAGATGGAAGTAGCTGTTAAACAAAAAACACAAGACAGCACCAACCATTATGAGGGCTCTGTCAAACTTTGCTATTTATCACATTTTTTATAGCCAGTAAAGCATGAAAGGGAAAATGTAATTTTCTGCACATATTTAAGCATGGACAATATTTAGAAGATAATTCGAAACGTTTCATATCGGTGATGCTTATTTATCCCTATGGGGGAGTACCACCATCCCATGTATATTACAACACACACAGAAAATGAGCCTATATAGGACTTTTACGGTACCTCGAATATATAACATCAGGTAGTGGATCTCTTTTAAAAGCTTACATCTTTTATTATGAATACTTGTAATTAGAGGTGCACCGAAACTAAACCGAAATGTAAAAAAAAAAATGTCACGTTGAAACCGAAATTTTTTTTTTCTAATGTTTAATTGTTTTTTATATATTTTATTGTTATAAACTTGAAAACTGTTTATATTTTATTCATGTTTAATTAAATATTTTTATTTTTTTCGGGCTTTGGGGAAATATTAGGGGACCCATGATATTTCCCTTTTAAAATAGAAAAAGGGATTGAGAACAAAGTTCTTAATCTCCTTTTCTGCAGCCCCTGTTATAAATGAACAGTAATCCTCTATACTGAGTAATCCTGTTCATTCATCACTTGTGGATATGGTATGTTTACTGTGTCCACAATCATGAATGAACAGGAGGTGATTTAGATCCCTTCCCATTAATTCATAATTGAGGACACATTAAACATTCTCTGTCCTCAATTATTTGCAAACACTCAGTGATCTCTGATCGCTGACTTCTTGTACCCGCTCTCTATCCTGAATCGGTCGCAGGAGGCTGGGGGGGGCAGTGCGGGAGGAGAGCTCAGCCTCCTATGACAGCTGTCTCTGCCCACACCGCCACTCTCCTGATCTGTGACAGGAGGCTGAGCAGTGTGGGAAGGAGAGACAAAGCCCGCTCACAGCGCTCTCTTCCCACACTGCTTGGCCTCCTTTGACAGTTTCTCTCCACCCCACTGGGACACAGAGCAGCGCCTAGCGGGGAGAAGAGAAAGCAGGGATGTACTGTCACTCACTGCTCTCCGCATGAATTCCCCCCTTCCCTCCTCCGATCCTCCAGCGCTGACTGGTAAAATGTAGAAGTGTGAGCAGCATGGAGGAGGAATTAGTTTTAGGAAAGAGAGGCCTTACTGTCTGGCAGCTTGTGAATACGTTCGCCCAGTTCCTGGAAGTATGAATGCTTCATGGCTTCATCCGCAGAGATCCTCCTCCTTCCCTCCAACTGTAACAAAGAAAGAGTGAAGCCATTATTCACACTCACCACTATATAGAAATGCAATCTATTTCCTTTGGCTAAAGATGGTATGTCAGGTTAACATTTAAAATACCCCAGCATTCACCCCCCCCCCCCCGCCGCCAC